TCGAACGATGATGGGTTAACATTTCGATAAGTCGAAATAACACCCTTTAAGGCCAAGGGCCTTCGCCAAAAAGAAGAGTTCGACCTCGATCGAACGACGACGGGTTAATATTTCAATAAGTCGAAATAACACCCTTTAAGGCCAAGGGCCTTCGCCAAAAAGAAGAGTTCGACCTCGATCGAATGACGACGGGTTAGCATTTCGATAAGTCGAAATAACACCCTTTAAGGCCAAGGGCCTTCGCCAAAAAGAAGAGTTCGACCTCGATCGAACGACGACGGGTTAACATTTCAATAAGTCGAAATAACACCCCGACGGCCAAGGGCCATCGCCAAAAGAAAAGTTCGGCCTCGTTCGAACCACGACGGGTTAACATTTCGACCGGCTCGAAATAACACCCAGACGGCCAAGGGCCATCGCCAAAAGAAAAGTTCGACCTCGTTCGAACCACGACGGGTTAACATTTCGACCAGCTCGAAATAACACCCAGACAGCCAAGAGCCATTGCCAAAAAAGAAGAGTTCGACCTCGTTCGAACCACGACGAGTTAATATTTCGACCAGCTCGAAATAACACCCCTACGGCTAAGGGACATCTCCAAAAAAGAAGAGTTCGACTTCGTTCGAACAACGACGAGTTAACATTTCGACCAGCTCGAAATAACACCCCTACGGCCAAGGGCCATCGCCAAAAAAGAAGAGTTCAACTTCGTTCGAACCACGACGGATTAACATTTCGACCAACTCGAAATAACACCTCTACGGCTAAGGGACATCGCCGAAAAGAAGAGCTCGACTTCGTTCGAACCACGACGAGTTAACATTTCGACCAGCTCGAAATAATACCCCGACGGCCAAGGGCCATCGCCAAAAAAGAAGGGTTTGACCTCGTCCGAATCAACATTCGGCCTCGTCCGAATCAACCTTCGGCCTCATTCGAATCAAACTTCGGCCTCGCCCGAATTCACAATGGGTGACCTCGTCCGAATCAACATTCGGCCTCGTGCGAATCAACCTTCGGCCTCGTCCGAATCAAACTTCAGCCTCACCCGAATTCACAATGGGTGACCTCGTTCGAATTCAAAGTGGGCGACCTCGTCCGAATTCACAGTAGGTGATCTCGTCCGAACGCACATTTGGCGACCTCGCCCGAATCGACATTTGGAAACCTCACCCGAATCAACATTCGACGACCTTGCCCGAATTCACATTCGGCGACCGCGCCCGAATTCCCATTCAGCCACCTCGTCCGAATTCACATTCGACCTACTCGCCCACCCAGATCCAATGACGCGAATGACCTCCTTCGGTGCTGCCATCCTTGCCGAAGCCTCTATCCTGGCCTCGACGGCCTTTTCCAACTCTACCGTCTTCTCGATCGACTCATTACTCGAGTCATTGGCCCTGATCGAACTCTGCTAAAGTTCAGCCCGCGGGGATACCACTTTTCGGCACCCTCGGCCGTGATCCACACTAGTCGACCTCCCCATCCGAATTTCTCGAACTACGATTAATGAAGTCCGCTCACCGAGCTAGACCAAGAGACGACCTCGATAAGCGGAGGGACTAACTGTATAGGTCAAAATTAGATCAGAGAAATTCGGCACGTGGAGACATAAGGCCGAGGTCGGACAGGCCGAGGTCGGACAGTCATCAATAAGGCCGAGCTCGGACAGGCCAAGGTCGGACAAGCCGAGGCCGGACAGACCAAGGTCGGATAGGCCGAGGTCGGGCAGTGATGAAACAACTAGTCTGCTTTGGAATCCTCAAAAGGAATATTCTACCGAATACTCCCTTTAATTGTACCCTTTCTTTTAGGGTTTTTCTAGGAATACCCCTTATAAATAGGAAGAGAGGACTTCCCAAAAAGGGAGTCTCTCGGGCTCTTTCCCTCTCCCTCTCTCTAGAAAATATGTAAACACACCTCTCTAAAAGAGATGGGAGGATCTGTGATCCCATATCTTCATCAGATCCAAATTAAAAAGGGTCCTAAGGTTCTTGTATTTGTCTATCGTTCATCTTTATCAAATGAAAGAAGACCCGTCTCACTCAAGATTGGGTGAATCTTTTCCTTTATTTACATTTTATTGCCACTTAATGTTACTTAATGCATCTTTCTTTATGCTATTAAATGTGGCCATAATCACTGCCAACATTTATACTCGACTATGTTTTTCTATTTATATTATTCATCTCGGATCTAGAGTTAATTATCCTTAACTGGGATTTACCCCTTCATTTTATTTGATTGATTTGTTCAAAAAGGTTCTAATATCTTTTGAGTCAAACAAGTACCTCATCTAATTTGAAACGGGGAGTAATACTTTTGGTCTTTGTAAAAAGTTTAACGAATCCTGTCTCTTAAATTTGACGGGAACCATACAAAGAGGAGATTTAGCGGGAATTCACGTGTAGAGGTATAATTTTTTTATTTTCTACTATTTTTGGTATATTACTTGAGTCTGGTAAAGTTTTTTGAGATATAATTTTTGCAACTTTTGGTATTTTTTTGTCTTTAGTGTAGTTTTTTGTATACCGTTATTTTCTAATGTTTAAGGTTAAAAAAAAATTATCATAGTTTTCATCAAATCAAACAGAGTTCGTTAAAATTTTCACGAAGACCAAAAATGTTAAGTTTTTGCAAACTTAAACGAACTAACTGCTCAGAACATACTTTAAAAGACTTCTTTGAACCTACCCTCCAACACAAGGAAGCATTTTTCAATTTTTTTTTTTTAAATATTCCTCTTACTTCCTCAAAATAGATTATAAGCCAAATCTGCAGCGCCCAAAATTATGCCAAAAAATTTGACAACATCAAAAATAATCTTTCAGATTCTTACCATGGAAATCGATTTTAGATATCGTTTAGATTGCAAATAGACAAAAAAGAAAAAGAGAAAAGAGCACATAATAACAAGAAGAGGAAAAAGTAGAGATCAAGCAAGCAAGATGCGTATCACTTTAATATTGGCCGGGAGCGGCTCAATAGATCTCGTGGCCGCAAAATCATATTGAGAGGCCCTTAAATTTATTTTATAAATTATTTATACTAACAAAAAAATTTACTTTCTAAATAATAAATTAATCATTTAAGATAAAAATAAGCGAATTTCAAAAAAAAAGAAAAGGAAGAAGAGCACAAAAAATAAAGTGGTTGACTATCGGATGTTGAAATTCACAAATTTTGATTTGGCTATCATCACAATCAAGAAAAAGAAATAAATGTACATAACGTAGTAGCTTAAATTTTGAGCATTAACGGTGTCAACAATATTTACTCCTTATGATCAGTTTAAATGAAAATTGTAGTTCATTCTATTAAGTAGCACTTATTGATGAATATCTAGAATAAATTATAAGTAACCTAGTATAATATGTCGAATTACACTAAAAGAAAACCGATGCTGCTTTTGTGTTCACGTAGTTTGAGAGAATATTGTAAATGAAATTCATTTTGTTGTCGATATATATAACTTAATTCCTATATAAAAAGGATAAAATTAAGATTGAAGACTAAAACAAATATATTAATTAATCAGTAAAGAAAATTATCAAAATTTATGAATTTATTGATATAAAATAACCTCAATCAAAATATAAAAAAAACATACTGTAACACTTTCTTTATACTAATTATTTATATAATTATATAATATACGGTATTAATAATAATAAAAATTTAAAATAAATTTGGGCCTTCAAATTTGGGCCTAAGGCGACGGCCTCAATGCCCAAGCCTTTAGAGCAGCCCCTATATCGGCACTAGTTCATTTTCAATTTTTCAGAAATCAAATAGTACACTAACCATGGTAAGACCCCCTATTTTGGTTAATGTGAGACCATTGGTATTAAAATAGGATATGTGTCACGTAACTCCCAAGAGCTCTTATCAACAGAGTCCTTTGACACCTCGATGTCGACTCATCACATCCTGAGTTGAAGAAGATCCCAAGGGTTCGATTGTTCGTTAATGCAAATGGTACGTGAGTTGGGTTTAGAACGTCGTGAGACACATCTTCACGAAGAATTCAATTTCATCGGGTCCATGTCGGATATAGTGGTTACACCTTTCGTGCAGGTCGCTACTTGTATGAGAAGGAATTTCGCTACCTTAGGACAGTTAGAGTTACTGTCGCCATTTACCAGAGCTTCCATTCAAAGCATATAACACTTCTCCTTCCGACCTTCCAGCACCGAGCAGGCAGTGGCGGATCTAGAGGGTAATGTGCGGGTTCCCGGGAACCGAGTAGCTTTTGCACAGTCCTTGTATATGTATTAAAAAATTCATTAAAATATCTATAAATATTTGATTGTGAACCCAATTGATAACTTGAGATCGTTATAGGAACCCATAAACTTCAAAGTCTGGATCTGCCTCTGCGGGCAAGTGTCAGACTCTATACATCGTGTTACCACTTACAGCTTATTTGGATTCTTGTTACATATCGTTTCATAATGTATCGTATTGTATTGTACTGTGTTGTTTGATGAATACAACATTTGAATAGATTAATTGTTCGCCGTTATTTCATAATATCACGCACCAACAATACGAAGGATAAACTTGCAACATTACAAAGAAAAAATTGAATACGGAGTAAAATTATTATATAAAAAAGTAGGATAAAGGATAAAATATAATTATTTAATAATAAGGAAGTGCAAGATGAGAGAAAAAAGCAAGGTAACGACGCCACCACACTAAATCCGCCGTACCATACAGTAACACTTTTCTTCGTTACGTAACGACGAATTTAACTATACGATACAATAGATAACAACCATCCAAACAAGCTGTTAGTGGAGTCTTGTATTTTTAACAAAGAGTCTGTAAAATCTGTTATTCTTTTCCTGGGAGGCACGTTGTTAGGGGGGAAAAGCATAATCGTTTTGTTCTTTTCTTGGGAGACACGCGCTGTTTGGAGAAAAAGATGAGTTAAAAAAAACAAAAGGGAGCCTTTTAGTTCATGTCTTGCTAATGTGCTCTTTCTTACGAATACTTTGGACATTTTCTTGATACAACTATGCCAATGGATTATCTTTCCTAAGCCGACGTCTTTCGGAAACAACATTTTCGCCTTTTTGAAGGTAGGGGTAAGGTCTACGTACATACTAACCTTACCAGACCCCACTTGTAAGATTATACTGGGTCTGTTGTTGTTGTAAATATGCCAATGGAAGGACGGCTATACAGAGCAGCACAGAGAGGTGATATAAATGTCTTAAGAGAATACAAGAACCAGTTCACCACTCAGTTAACTCCATTTAAGAACACTATCCTTCATATTGCAGCTGATCATGATTTTCACACGCGCACTAATTATTTCTCTTCCAAAGACGGGGAAAACTTTCTCGATATAATTAGCAGTAATTTAGAACTGCTTTTCTGTTTGAACTCTAATAGCGATACTTGTATTCATGTGGCTGCTAGGAAAGGCCATTTTAAAGCCTTTATTAGCTACATGAAACAAAATTCATGTCAATATGAGCTCGAAATTGAAGGTGGTGGCACTACTGAGGAACTGTTGAGGATTCCCAACAGCAAAGGAAACATGGCTTTGCACGAAGCTGTAATGCATAGGCATCACAGGGTGGTGGAATTGTTGGTTAAAGAAGATGTTGATTTCACATATCCGCCCAACAAAATTTCGAGAAGTCCATTATTTCTAGCTATGGAGAAAAAAGACGACATTTCTGTCGAATTGATCTTGAGCAACTCCAGTTCACCATCTTATGCAGGACCTTATGGCACTACAGCGCTACATGCAGCTGCAATCTATCATATTGAAGGTACAATCAGATCACTTCTCTATAACAGCATCTCCATATAACAGTCATTCACTATAAAAGCCGAGTTTTTCTCGAAACCGATTATTATGTTATGTTATAATATTTGTCATTTATAACAGCACTCACTATAGCAGCCAAAAGATATCGGAACAAATTAAATGACTGTTATAGAAAGGTTTGACTGTATATCCTATTTTTCTGACAACTTCATATTTTGCAATCTCAAGTACAGAGGTTTGGGAGACTAATCAATCTGCATTATATGGATTTTCTTTGACAAAAGTATTAAACGAGTTAATGTATGATATTTGTATAGAAACTGGGCTACACATTTTATTTTCCATTGAGATATATTCTTATATGTTTCTCTCTCTCCTTCTCTATCTATCTATCTGTATCTGTATCTGTGTGTTTCCTTTACTTTTTTAATTCAACATTGGTTAGAGCCTTGCTAATTTGGACTATTGCTTTGTTCAGAATGCTTGCAACTAATACTAGAAAAGGAACCAAGGTTGGTAAAGGAAGTAGATGATATGGGGTGGAGTCCTCTCCATTTCGCGGCATTCTTCGGATCAAAACCGATAGTGAGGGCATTATTAAAGGAAGATAAACAGATGGTATATGAAACTATTAAAGAAGACGATAGAACACCTCTGCATTTAGCTGCACTTAATAATATGATAGACGCTGTGCGAGAGATATATGAGCAGTGTCCAGATTCTATTGAAGCAGTCACTAGTCAAGGCCATAATGCTCTTCAACTAGCAAAGGAAAATTGTAGTTTCAAAGTCCAAGCTTTTTTTCCTGCTCATTCTACTAAAAAAATCCTCGAGAAATACTTTCTTATTATTGGTGACGCGCTTGGTATGCTTTTTATATTGCCAAGTATCGTTACACATCACCCTTACTTGGAGGAAACGAGTCTAAAGTGGCTGGTAACGTTATTTAATACTCCATGCATCCTCAGTTTAAGAAAGAAATGAAGATTTTATTTTATTTATTATAAGTATGTTTTATTCAGGGGAAAAAGCCAAGCTATGAAATCATGGAAGCTGACAAAGAATCCTGGAAAGAAAGAACAAATACACATTTGATAGTGGCTACGCTCATAACAACAATTTCTTTTGCGGCTGGCTTTACCATTCCTGGTGGATACAATAGTGATGATGGTCCAAATAAAGGCATGGCAATCTTAACGAGAAAAACAGCGTTCAAAGCATTTGTGATAGCTAATACCCTAGCCATGACATTTTCTGCTACTGCAGTGTATATGCATTTCCGTGCGACTCTTAAGCGAGAGAATATGACGCATACTCTTTTCCTAAATGCTTCTTCGTGCCTCTCATATGCTATAATGGCAATGATGATAGTATTTACGACTGGCGTATATGTTGTGCTACCGCTTGCAGACCTAGCCACAGCTGTCTGTGTCCTGTGCTCTGTAACACTTGCCATTTTTGCATATATAGGCGTTAAGGAAAAATTAATTTGAGAAAGATGAAGAGTAGTTCCTCATGGCTTCAGAAACATTGGAAAAGGAGGACATTCATAGATAAATGTTGTTATGTTTACAATTCTACTTTTGCATTGGAAAATCTTCATGTCAAGAAAGATTCTTTGGTTCATTTGGTTGGCTCTTGAATTAATGTTTGTGGTTGCATTTCTTCTTCCTTGGTTTATCACAATACATGTAAATGGTGGAAATTGAAGAAGGATAACGTTCAGTTGTAGTATATTATCAATTGGTTTTGTCTACTTGTGTCCGCGTTTGCAAAGGATTGTTATCCTCTGTATATAACTTATTTTAGGACTCTTACATGATTTGTATGTATAAATATGGCAGAGTATTTTCAATACAATTAATCAGAAAGCCTTTCATGGTATCACGAGTCCTAAGAGGTTAAAACAACCCAAATAAAAACAACAGAAGCTTTGAAACAACATCATTAATGGTGAACGACAACAACTCATCAGGTTCCTCAGGAACAACTGCTGGAACACAGACCTCCATGGTCACCACTCTACCGTCTCCTAATCTTGCTCATCAACAACCGGTTAAACTTACATCGTCAAATTTTTTGTTGTGACATAGTTTCTTCCGATGGTTCGAGGTTGTGGACTTGGTCACCATATTGATGGTAGTCAGGTGATTCCATATCAGTTTCTGACTGATAATCAACCTAACCCAGACTATCACGTTTGGATAAGAGAGGAACAACTTGTCTTAAGTTGGATTGTTGCTTCCGTGACGGAAGAAATATTGCCCCAACTGGTTGGCGCTGAGACGGCCCAAACGGCTTGGAACAAACTAGTTGCTGCCTATGCCTCAGGTTCGAAGCCCCAGAGTCGTGAGTTGAAAACTCAGCTACACACATTGCAGAGAGACAATTCTAGTATTGATTCTTATGTACAAAAGGCAAAGGAAATTGCGGACAAGTTGGTTGCATTGCAGCATCCGGTTCCTAATGATGACTTAGTCGGATTTGTTCTTGCTGGACAGGAACCAGCCTATCGTCCCTTTACAAGATCTCTTGAATCGCATCAAGAAGATATCTCGTTCGATGCTTTATATGGACTATTGTTGAATGAAGAACGACAATTAAAGAGAGATGAGACTCTTAATGTCATAGCACCCACAGTACAATTTACTCAGAGTTCTGTTGCCCCCAACCGTGGCCGTGGTAGAGATAGAGGTAATAGAGGTTGTGGACACTGTCAAAATTATGGTTTTCTTCCGTTGACTCAACAACGTGGTTTCCATAACACCACTCAATCCTCCAACGTTCTGTCTTCAACCTCAGATATGTCAACAATTATTTGTCACAATTGTGCAGGAAAAGGCCATATCGCACGAGTTTTCCCATCACCCAAGACATCTAATGGCACTCGAGTTTCTGGACGACCTGTCTCCAACCTAGCAAACACCCAAAATTCACCTACCCAAAATTGGTTGATAGATAGTGGCACCACGCATCATCTGACATCTTATCTAGATAACCTTGGCGTTCACTCTGAATATCAAGGTCCCGAGGAAGTAACTTTAGGTAATGGCTCTAAATTACCAATCTCTCATATAGGTGCAAGTTCTATAGTTGCTTCTGACAAAAAATTCAAACTTAAAGATATTCTTCATGTCCCTTCTGCTACTCAAAATTTAGTTTCCATTAGTTCCTTTACTAAACCTAACAACGTTTTTGTTGAATTCTTTCCTAACCATTTTTTGATTAAGGATTTGGCAACGAGGGCACCACTACACACAGGGCGGATTAATAGCGGATTATATTCGCTCCATGTGACAAGACTACCATCCCCAGCTTCCTTTGCAGCTTCTCTTGGTGTTTGGCATGCTCGTCTGGCTCATGCATGTTATCCTACAGTTCATCAAGCATTACCATATACTGTTTTTCAGTCTAGTAAATCTCATAGTTTATGCACTACTTGTGTTGTTAGCAAAAGCCATAAGATTTCTTTTAGTGAGTCTAGTTTTCAAGCATCTGGCGCTCTTGATTTAATTTGTTCGGATGTTTGTTCCAATGATGGTTATCGTTATTATGTGATCTTTTTTTTTAAATCATTTTAGTAAATACACTTGGATTTATTTTCTTCGCTTTAAATCTGAAGTTCTTTAAGTTTTTATTCAGTTTCACACTCTTGTTGAAAAATACTTTGGTCGCCACATCAAATGTTTTCAAGCTGACTGGGGAGGGGAGTTTCAAGCTTTGACCAATTATTTACGTGATAATGGAATTACACAGCGTGTTTCTTGCCCTTACACTCCTGAACAAAATGGCTGTGCAGAACGTAAACATAGGCACATTGTCGAAACTAGTAGAGCATTATTACTGTCACGCCCCGAACCTGGGCCTGGACGTTGTCACACCTCCTTTTTCTTACTACACCCCGTGAAGGGTATAATAAAGGGAGTTTTTCCAATTAAAGGACAACGAAACGGGATTATTATTTAAAGATCAGAGTCGCCACTTGGGAGATTTATGGTGTCCCAAGTCACCGGTTTCAAATCCCGAATCGAGGAAAGGGTTGACTCTGTATTACAGTCCGCCAATCAGAAATCCGGGTAAGGAATTCTGTTAACCCGGGAGAAGGTGTTAGGCACTCCTGAGTTCCGTGGTTCTAGCACGGTCGCTCAACTGCTATTATTGGCATAATTATCTGATTTTAGTAACAATTTTAAACCTATGTGCATTTTTACTTTTAACCGCTTTTATTCATTTCATTTTTTAAAGAAGATTTAACATCGTCTAAAATATGTCTTTGGATCACGTCACATGAAATGCATCCGCAATCCGAAACACATTTTATTCAACGTTATAAGGATTTGGATTTGGGTCACATGAAATGCACACCCGAGTTTAGGAAAGTCAATTATTAAAATACGCGCCTAAAGTAACTACGCGTTTTTAGCTTTGCGAGGGCCGTGAAAATTCAACGAATGGCACACCTCAATTTATTTTCAAAGGATTGTACTCAACTTAAAGCAAACTACGGGTGTTCATAATTACTCATATATCTAAATTTAAGTAGGAAACTGAATTAAACTAACATTATCAGAGATGATCAAGAAAACTGGAAAGGAAAAAACAATTAAAGAACGCTAACAAATCACAAATGTTTCTCTGTTTTTGGGTCAGATTTCAGTGCAAGGACAAATCACATTAGCCAAAGGATATGCAGCAATCCATATTGTTCTTTTCCTCTTCTTCCTTCGCATTGGAAGTAATTCAATAATCAAACTATTATAGTTAGTTAACAAAAAATATAAAAGACTACAATTCAATCTAGTAAGTCTAATTACATCAATTTTGAAAGAGATTTGACATTAACTACTGTTCAAACCAACGAACTTTTCATGCCATCTAAACTTCACTATTTTTCATATAACTCTTACACATTGTTACCAATTGGAAATAATCACAAACTATTCTTGGACATCAACACACTGATCACGGGCAGAATTATAGAGCAAAATTAGTACACAAAATTGCGATAAAAACAGAACTCCATGATTAACTGTTTCGATTAACCCAAAGGGAAGTCCATGTATACTGAATATTTGAACAATCCAGAAAAACTTAAAACAAACTTGCAATTCACTTAAACAAAATTCAACTTTCTTTCCACACTGCTAGTAAACAAAACCCAAACTTCCATATTCAGAACACAACCAACATGAGACTAGTATTTCAATTAATGACCAAGTAAAATGAGGGAAGACCAGTGAAAGCAAACACCATACGTCGATGAAGATACTCAGCGAGCCAATTCCGGAATCGAAGAAAACAGATCCAAATTACTATTTTCACATAAACACATGTAAATCAAAATCAGTTATAACTCATTAAATACATGAAAGTCAGAAATGAACCTGGAATTTCTTTCGATTAATGAAACTCTAGCAGTTACACGGACTGAACGAAGAGACCGTTGCGACCAGGACTCGACACGACGATCCTCAAACTCGACTGAAGAAACGAAGAACGGGCAGTGAATGGGATTCACGAACGGATCTCGATATACCGAAAACTTCGACTTAAATCTTTGCTGCTTTGAGGACCTTTCACGTGCTTGTATGAGAGGTCCAAAGAGATGTTTTGGCAGTGATTCGGTGCCTGTTTTCAGGTGGCTTAGTGGCCGTTTTTACAGCTATTTTTGAGGTGGTTTATGTGAGGTTTCAGGTAGGTTTAAGGTCCTTTTGATGGCTGCTTCTTCTCTCAAGGAGAAGATGGGTCGATGGAGGGGGTCCTTTTCTTATTCTGCCGCTATTGCTTGGTTGAAGAGAGGGTGAAAGAGGGAAAGGTTGCTGTTGCTGAATTGGAAAAGAAGAGGATGGGGGGTTGCCTCTCGTTTGAGCTCAGAAGAAGATCGGGGGAATGGGTGATTAGCGGCGCTTTAGATTTCTTGCGTATAGGTTGTTGGGATTGAAAACTTAGGGTAGGGTTTTTATAATTAGGTATTTTATATGAAAATGGGAAGGGATGATGACCATTGGATTAGAAGGAAAATAGATGGTTAGGAGTAAATCTTGCACTTAAATGGGCTAATGGGTTGGGAAGAATGGGCTAAGGGTAATTGGGTTGGACCATGTCTTTTTGTGTCTCAATTTTGGGCTAAGAAGACTCCAAAAATTATTATTCAAAACCATAGCTAAATTCCTTTAATATAAGATAACTATACTACATNTTAGCCAAAGGATATGCAGCAATCCATATTGTTCTTTTCCTCTTCTTCCTTCGCATTGGAAGTAATTCAATAATCAAACTATTACAGTTAGTTAACAAAAAATGATAAAAGACTACAATTCAATCTAGTAAGTCTAATTACATCAATTTTGAAAGAGATTTGACATTAACTACTGTTCAAACCAACGAACTTTTCATGCCATCTAAACTTCACTATTTTTCATATAACTCTTACACATTGTTACCAATTGGAAATAATCACAAACTATTCTTGGACATCAACACACTGATCACGGGCAGAATTATAGAGCAAAATTAGTACACAAAATTGCGATAAAAACAAAACTCCATGATTAACTGTTTCGATTACCCCAAAGGGAAGTCCATGTATATTGAATATTTGAACAATCCAGAAAAACTTAAAACAAACTTGCAATTCACTTAAACAAAATTCAACTTTCTTTCCACACTGCTAGTAAACAAAACCCAAACTTCCATATTCAGAACACAACCAACATGAGACTAGTATTTCAATCAATGACCAA